TCTCCGTTTGCCGTCCTGTCCCTCCTGCCCCCCTGGTTACCCAGTTAAAATTCGTCTGCACCTCCCATTTGCTGCGAACAACTCCCATCATCCCTGCGTATGTTTTGTAGGTCGCAAATGGGAGTGGGTTAATGTAAACAGAAAATAGAAGTTGCAGCGCTCTTGTCTCTAGAAGTTCTACCACGCTGACAAAAGGAGGGCCAGGTGTAATTGCTGTTAAGTACAAACGCGACGTATTCAGAGTGGAATGCTCTTTGGTGTGCTGCTGTTCAATGTCATTTGAGGTGCAATTTGTTTTCCATTGTTAGGAACCCCGGCAGTATAGTGCGGTGGAAAACAGAAGGTGCATAATTTTAGCTGCTTTTGTCAGACCCGGTAGTTAAAGGAAGCGCCGGCGCCTCGTCATTATTTCGCCCTGCCTCTTTGAACTCCACCGGCTCGGATTCTTCCCCAGCATGGACTACAAAACATCCACAGCAGCAATACATGTCCCCTAACAGGCCATGAGTATTTCCAACAATCCGTGTCCCTGGGACGCCACGTCTGCTCAGCCCGGGAGGTCACAACACTTCCTGTCTTTAAAAGCCTCCGCTGCCACATGCCCATTCAAAAATACAAGCCTCCTGTTGCGTTCCTGCCTCATTTATTTTACTTCCACGACTATGGCTGAAAAACGGTCAGACAGACCACTTTTCCTTATTTGTTCGTGGTTTGTTCGCCTCCCTTGCCAACGTGATCTCCAAAACCCGTTCGTAAAAATGTATACGAAATATTTGACATAGAAATTTGTAACAATACATACTAACTGGCGGTGGTTAACCACGCCCCTTGAGTGAACGTCTCTCCGCCATGTTGGATTTTTTGAGGGGGTTAGGGTTAGTATTGTATTCTTACAATTTAACATTGATTTCTCGTTAAAAATGCAATCATAACACGTTTATTTTACATCTTTATACTTCACAAAGTGTGCTTACGGGGTGCAGGTGCTTTTGTATCTTCATGATTTTCGTATGATTTTCGTATCATGTTTTTACGAACAGGTTTTGGAGATCAGGCTGCCCTTGCAGGGAGGTGGGAGTTGTTTTCCAATCCTCTCCCCCCAGCGGTAAAGCTACATCGCTCTCTGTTCCTGTTGCTACTATACAGGTGGCAGGGGCAACAGGGGAATTATGGAAAGTGGCCGGGAGGATCTTTTCTCTTAAGCCCCTTCTGTCCTCCACTCTCACTTCCTAGAAACAGGTGGCACTCTTTGTGGGACACCGCAGCCACATCGGTGGAGTTTAGTGGGATTCCACTACTAGACAAAGACAAAGCAAACTACAGATCCGGGGAAGGGTAACACCCAACACCCCCCCCTTCCCGAGCAAGCGTTAGTCACCTCCAAGGCCTGGATCTGGTCAGGAATGCCAGGAGGGGCAGGATGTCTATTGTGGAGGGTACACAGCGGAGAATGTTTGCCTTCCCAGCAGGCTCCACAGGGGCAGCTCAGCGGGACATTGCAGCGGTAAGGGGCAGTGGGACAGAGAAAGGAGCGTACTAAAATGATAAAGAAGAGGAAGAGAGTGCTTTCCCAAGTTTTGAGTTACAGGCAGCTAAAGGTAGGGGGGCTCTCACCGGCTTTTGAAGCAGGGAGAGGTAGGAGGCTGACTTTCCTCCTCCGTCTCCTGCCCACAAAAGGGCTGCCGCTTGAAGAAGCATTTCTCAAATATCTCCGTCGCTTAGTACTACCCTTCGACACATCTCATCCGAACCCTCCCCTCTCCATCTACTACTAAAGAGTTCCACAAAAACACCAACCAGACAGAGACAAAACAAACAGAGCAGCTTGGACTGACTGAAAGTTAGCGAATCGTTGATGATATTGATGATTTACACTTTTTTCAAGGGCTCATCGGCTCGAAAGAAAGTGGGTTCTCCTTCTGAAGAACAGCCTGCAGTTAAAGATTGAAGATTCAGTAAGTTCAAACCTGGAAACTCATTCAGATTTCTAAAAAGGAAAATAACACTATGACAGTAAGAACTATTCTCCGTCTCACAGATTTGATAAATTGCCCTGCAGTCTGCTTTATATGAAGCATGTCTGTCACTTTGTCTCGGTTGAAATCCTCTTAAAACCTGTGTCCACTTCAAAAGGCAGAGCCGCCACAGTCAGATGAGCCCAACGGCTCTTATCAGATCTCAGAGAAAGGAGAGAGTGCTTGGTGAGAGCGATGCCAAAGCGTATCTATTTACCAACTTGAGCCAACCAATTTCTCAGGACAAATTTGACTTCCAATATTTGCCTGGATGCGGGGGGGCGCCTCTGCCTCGAAGTTCATTAGCCGAGAGAGCGGTGGGAGCGAACTTCCCTCTACACGATGCGTGAAAGGTAAACACGTTCTGCATTCAGAAACGCAAGGCTCACTCAAGTCTCCTTATCTCGGTGATGAAGTGCTTTCCTCCCCAGGCTCTCAGGATGCAGGCCTCTGCACTTCCCCAAACAAACCTGTCGGTTGGAGCACACGTGCAACAACAGCCCCCCAACCCGGACAAACCACTCACTAAAAAGGCTGTTTTTCCCTTTTACGAGCACCACTTTGAGTGCCTCTTGTTTGGTTTGCAGATAACAACTATGTTGGGGAACATGTGGAGCATGTGTGTTCCATTTGCCCACTAATTAGATTGCAAGGCAGCGCACTGAAGCATGCATTGTGGCCCCCGCCGCGTCCGCCCACTCTGCCAGTCCATCAGATAAGGAAGCCATTCTCATCAGTTTCCATTTATGTAAGGGCTGATTTGGTGAGTGGAGCTGATGGGCCCAACACACCCAACTACTGTCTACGGACACATGAGTAACTATTACCCCATTCCATAATCCAGTTACCTTTGACGTGCCTTGTCAGCGATTAGCTCAGCAGTCCACTCTCATGTTACATTGTTCCATAATTTCAAATGATAGAGATAAAAATGAAAATGGCTTTCATGTCACGCAGTGTATTTTCTGGCTAGAGCCAAAGGGAAGCGGCACATGGCGGAAAACATTGTGAAGTGGATCTAAAGTCCAATGAAAACCGCTGCATTGGAAACATTAAAAATTGAAAGAGCACGCCAAGGTAAAAATAGGGGAGAAGCCGCAGGTCAGGTCGAGCCCGCTTCCTAGTGGAAGTTTCACAGCCGCCTGCCGGCGTCATTTGCTCTTGCTTCCTCCTTATAACAGGCTTATTACCTTTGGGGATGACATGGAAGACGCTCAGCAACAAATCCACAGACACAAACTTCAGCCACCGCATGTACTAACTGGCAATCCGCGGGCTGAGTGACTACAAAATGAAAGCACCGAGCAAATTTGTAACTGATACAAGGATGGGTCGCTGAACTCCAAGCCTGACCTCCTTTTAACGTGGCAAAAAAGGGGCTTTTGTTGAGCCTTAGGGGGGCAAATTCTTTTTACCGCTTGTGTTTAGAAACAGGAAATTCATTTCTGACTAATTTGATTAGCGCCGGCATTGTTTCTACTCATCCTCCCACTCCTCCTGTCTCCCCCCTTCCACCTCACACTCTCTTTCATTCTAACTTGAGGATGTTGTCGGATGACAGTTTAATAGTCTGCAATTCCTGAAAATGGTGAAATGCTGAAATTGGACCCCAAAAAGCAGTGTCAAGGAGTATTCAGCTTTTAAAAAGATGGTCGAGTTCGGCCTGCCATAAATCTTTTACAGCGGTAAGGTAACGTTAAAGTGGAATTGAGATCCCAGGATGTGAAAAATGATTAAAATAAACACACCCTGAAGACGTATACGGGTTGGATGTGGGGTAAGCTGGGTGGCTGCCCTGTTGGAGCACAAAAGAAGCGAAGGGTCCAGGTTTTTTTGGTGGAGCACTGATACAGTAACAGGATCCAGCAAAGCCCTGTACTCTCCCGAAGCCCTGCAGCATAAACAAACAGCTGAGACAGAGCAGGGCAGAGGCACCGGCACACGCACTAAAGCCTTACACACACACACACACACTAACACACAGAGACAGGCAATCAGAGGGAGGTGGTCTGCCCAGGCAAGGCTCACCTCAGGGCATCCACACTGACACAGGCTCATCGCATAACTGCGAGTCTGCCGTTTCATCGGCTTAAACTATCTATCTTACAACGGGTTGGCCGTTTAGCTCTTTGTTAGATGCGACAGCTTGTGGTTTGCCAAAAGTCAAAGTCAAAAAAGTATCGGTAACAAACTGTCACTGAGGGATTTTTTTTTTTAAAGGGTAAGAGTAAAATTTTATAAAAGTTTCCTGCTCTGTTTTTCATAGAACCCCGCTCTTGGAAGTTCCCACTTGATGAGGGGCAGTAATGGGATTTTACAGGCCAATGTGAAAGTAAATGGCTCATTAATACGCTCATTTCTTCTTCTTCTTCTTGCAGTGCATAAAGTAACCACGGTCAATGGGTTCCAGTGCACTTGAAAGCCTTCTGTGAAAGTCCAGTGATTCAAATCAATATCACAGCCGATGACTTCAATGCACGAGGACAGGAGGCGAGGGCATTCCAAAAAACAAATGGCAGCACAGGGACAATCCTGCTGCCCTGTGTAGGGCAAAGCAGGATGCATTGGCCCGAATTCAATGAACCTGCCGACACTAGATGGCGCAGTTTCATGCGCAATATGCATGAGGGGAATGGGGGGAACTGAGGGTTCTCTCTGTCTCTGTCTCTCTCACACACACACACACACACATATGAAAGGAAAATATGTAAACATGCTATGAGACATATTTGTTTGTGTGAACAGCTTCTACTCAATCTCTCGGGGTATGGCGGCTCCCAAAGTGAGCTTCCCAGACAAAGTCATATCACTAAGAATGATATTTTATTCACCCATTTTGGCAAAAGAAAACAAAATATGATCACAGGTTTCACTCTATGTCATTATTCCACACAAACCTTCAGTCAGATTGGGGCCCCACTGTGACAAACTCTATTTATTTTTTTACACATCCTTTTTCCATAGAAAATATTGGGGTGTACTTACTTGCACTCCCGGTCCTCCAGATCGAAATGCGGATTGAAGTTGATGAGTATCCGCTGGTGTGGACCAGGCGCGGATATCACCCACACGCATCTCTGGGAAGGGGTGTAGGATTGGGGGTATCCGGGCGAGGTGAGGTAGTTGGCGGTTGAGATTCTGATGTTGCCTCCACATTTATCTGCCGAGGAGAGAAAAAAAAGGTCTTTAAGGAAATAAAAGACATATTTCACAACGTGATGCCCCAAATACAATAGCTATATTCTAGCGGTCGGTAGCATGATGTATATATGTATATAGAGAGAGCGAGAGAGAGATAGTGGGTTATCTATATATGTGAAACCTTAGGACAGTGTCCGAGAAACTTTTCAGTTTAATTTTTTCAGTTTAATTTATCGATATATCGTTTACAGAGTCGAATTGGTCAAGACAAGCAAAGGGTATGCAGCGACTAACTGACACACATCGTACATGCATATTGGTATTTAGTAATAATTTGAATTACTATTGTTTATGGTTAGTTAATACGGAGCAGCCTTGCAGTGGCGCACTGAGATAAAGGAGCATCGAGATAAAGGAGCAGTCCCTCATATTATAATAAGATACGGAGCAGCTTTGCGAATCGTATAAATGCTATTAAAAAGTGTAATTGGAGAGTTGTTCCTCTGAAGAGTTTCACCATAAAAGGGAATTATCCTTTGTTTTTTTCAGAGGGCCACAAGTCGCATTCATCTTTATTCGGGCACGTTTTCACTAATTAAAAATGAAAGCTGCTACCGAGTGTTTCTCTGATACATACACGCACCTCTTGAAGATCAATTAAATCGAAAAAATAAGCGTGGAACGAAAGCGCCAAATAGAAAGGAAACGGGAGCTGAAGAGAACAGAACAAGGGGAAGTTGTGTAAACCGGGGATTTGGGCTGACTTTTTGAACTTCACTAACACACCCTGCTTGTTAACCGATAGCTGCCCCCACAAAACGGGATACAATCGTTCTCTCAAAGGAAGTTTTAGGTTACAAGCATCACGATGGACTGTTGGTTGCATAAATACGAATTAACAACATTATTTGGGATATTTTGAGGGCATCACGGGTAATGAAAAAATCCATGAAGTGGAAATATTATGGGAGGGATATCATGAATACAAGGTGTACACTAAAAAAGAAAAACAATTAAATAGGACCACGACGAACACTGGTCACCATTAAACACTTATTAAATTAAAGTCTCCGCTGAAATATAATAAGAGGGATTTCCGCGGTGTTGGCGGAATGGGCAGGTGAGCGCTGTGCGACTTTGTCAAAAGATCAGCGCTGATCCGAGCAGACTAATCTTTCAGAAAAATATTGGGATTAGAAGCTTTGCAGAGTACACATACGCTTTATTTATATAGATATCAGATATCACACTTACCGTTTTTGAAAGCCTTGACCACCAGAAGGATTCCCATGAACAGGATCAAGACTAATCCACAATGCATCCTTGTTTCCTCACCCCAAAAATTAAATTACGCATACAAAAAAGATTTTAAAAAACTCCGTTAACGAAACTCCTCCGGCAGGTTCCTGCAGCGAGTACTGTTCTCTCGACAAGGACTAAAATAAAGTGAGAGCGTCTGTTAAATAAAACGAAGTTAGAAGTGTAGGAGCTCCGGTCGCTGGCATCCTGTCATTCAGCTCATGTTTCCTCTCGCCTGTGCCGGTTGCGCTCCTCTCTCCAGCGCGCACCGTGCCATATCCCTCCCGGAGAGGTGGAAGAAGAAATGGCCTCACTCTCCGTTGATGGTGTTGCGTTGTTACTCCGTCAAACGGTGCCCGAGCTGGAGCTAATCCTTGGCTGTGGGAGGCAAAAGAGATAGGCGGAGGTGTGAGCGGGTTTTGAGAGGAATACGCGCTTGCATGCGGCCGCCTTGCGCTCTGGACATTCCCCGGGTGTGTCTTTGCGCCCTGCCTCTGAAACGAACACGGTTTATAGAAAGGCACGGACACAACTCCCCATAGCAAACAAAAGTGTGAGGACTCAGAGTGCGGGACTCGGAGGGGATGATGATGGGCGTGATGACAAATAGTCGACCTATGTGAGTAAAGCCCCGTGTCTTTATGTGTAAGACGAGCCGCACACTGAGTCACAGAGTACCAGCAGTCCGTTAAGTGACATGACTCTCTCTCTCTCTCTCTCTCTCTCTCACCCCCTTTCCCTCCCTCTCTCTCTCTCTCTCTCTCTCTCTCTCTCTCTCCCTCTCTCTCCGTCACTCTTTCTTTATCTATACCCCCTCCCCTCCCATCCCCTGTCTTCTTTTACAAAAATAAGCTATCGTGATATAGATTAACAGAACATGACTCATATTAAAAAACATCATTTGGGATAACAACGTGTATCAAATATTATATCTATAGGAAATATACCACTTAACCAAAGATCGTAAATCATAGAGTAAACAATTCTAAATGCCGATTACAATGGATAGGGGTTCTTTGTTTTAGGTCTCCTCCGCAGCTTTTATCTGATCGTGATCATTTTATGTGACACACTGAATTATCTATGCAGGGAACTTCTTTTTTGCGTCTCCTTAAACACGGATCCTCCAGCCGCTCGGAATGAATCGTATCGGCAGTGCTCACAATAGGCCCGGTTTGTTCTGTGTTTTCCACAGAAACTAAATAACAGAAAGTGTCCCCCCTCTACACCTTTAAAGTTTATTTTATGCACCGACAGCTGTTCAGATGTGCCGATTTCCTGCCCCACAACAGTGACACCATTTAACCGACACTCGGATATTCAGGGGAAATCAATTAAAGCGCACATTTATGTAGCCTTGCGTCATTTACTCAAGGCTGCCCTGGGTCACTCTGCACACGGACACACACGCACGCACGCACGCACGCACACAAACACACGCACACACACACACACACACACACACACACACATACACACACACACACAAAGGAACAGAGCAGCAAATACTTCTCCCGCATAAACACAACTAATCAAAGTTTTAAAAATGAACGATTTCATTTGATTAGTATTCAAGCCAAATAAATAAATACAATTTATTTATATTTGTAAAATCGTGGGAAAGTGGAGATAATCTATCATCGGATCAGTGCTTTCTTACGCAGAGGTATTTCATTAAATAAAAACTGCTGCATTCACCTGCGTTTTGAGGACTCGCAAAGCCGCAAGCATCCAGCCCTCCTCTCTCTACCTCCAACATGCGTGGAGGAGCAGAGTGCTGCTATGATCCGACAGGCTTCCCTTCGGATTCTGTTCAAATGACACTAGATCTTCTCCAGAGACTCACAAAAGCAAGTTACCTCCCCCCCGCCCCCTCCCTTTTCGTTGTACGCCGAGGGAGAACCACAGCGGAGTCTAGTTCGGTCCTCGGTCGCCACCGCGCAAAGACGCACAGCCGACAGCTGGCCACTCGCTCTCCTCTCCGCGCACAGACTAGTCTCCTCCGCGGCGCTGATCTCTCCAGGACTCTCTTCTTGTTTCGCCCCCTTTCTTTCGGCGCTGTCTCAAGAGAAATCCGGCCAGTGTGGTGGTAAAAATAGGCAGTTCCTAAAATACCAGAGGGACCGAAAAAATCAAAATAATGTAGATAAACGGAAAAGTCCTGGTTGATCTGCCGCAAGTTGTTTCTTCCACTTCGCCCGGTTCTCCGCGCGCCACCGCTCTCGGCTCTTCCGCTGAAGCAAATGCAGAAGGTTTGAGTCGCTGGCAGCGCCACACGCCCCTTTACGAGGGATGAGTGCGCGCGCGTGGTTGTTTACGGGCGTGCGCGTGCGCAGGCGTGTGTCTGTGTGTGGAGCGGGTGTCTCCGGCATCGTGCTGCGGATACCCCCAGCTTCCTCTCTTTATTCTGTCAGCCTCCAGCTTTTTTGGACGCATCAGAAATACACATTTGATTAAAAAATAAAAACTAGCCCGATGGCGTCTTCAAGCGTGTCACAAAGCATGCAATGAGTAAATGACTCATCTGTGATTTAAGTCTACCTCTCTTTGCTGTGTCAGCATGTTTTATCGTGTCTTTATTTATTGTCTTTTATTGCAGGGTTTTCATCCATGTTAGTAATTGTTTATTGAATTGGACAGTTTTTAAAGGCGGTGTAGAATTTAAAGCCCACTTTGCCCTTTGACTCTTGCAATCAGAACCCTGATGACTAATCACTAATCCCCTGCACCTCCATAAATTTCAGACAGTCGACTGGGCCAATCCGTGGTGAGGAGCAACTCCCCTCCTACCTGAGGATATTTCAAAGAGGTCTATAGTTGAGCCCTTTTGCACCTCAGTGCCATCCTGTTCTCATGTCACCTCAAAAGCTCTTCAGCTATGGCTAGGGTTTAGGGACAGGGTTGAGATGTGGTGTTACGTCGCCCGAGTTCCAACTGACCGTATTGCCTATTGATGCTCAGGACGCAGTAACAAAAAGAGACGATATGACATGGGGGCAGCAGCAGGAATAAGTATCTTTCCCCCACTAGTATACCTTTGGGAGATATTAAGCACTCTACCACATGAGGCCCAGGTATCCATGGTGGTCGGAGAGGACTGGTTGGGAGTCTGTGGACCACAACAGCAGACCCCAATGAGGGCCGCAACACTTAAGCAGACAACCAGTGGTTCATCCCCCTTTTTTAATTGGACCTTTAGAATTGTTCCTCATTGCGCTGGATTTATTTCAGCTTCCCGTTCCATTAGCACTGTGAGTTGTTTTGTGGAATTTTTAAAGGCACTGTTAAACTCGATAAAAACAAAAAGTTCCTGTACAAATATAAGAATATCATAGAGCTAATATGAGCTGATGCCTCTGTTTTCTGGGGGGCTGTAGGCGCCCATGGGACCCACACTGTTTTTCCGTGAACATACAAGCAGTTCTCTGTTGTCAATCAGTCTTTCTGTCTTTTTTTCTTTTGTTGACAAATGCAGCCAGCCTCATGAATGACAACATATGCCATTTTGACCAAAATGTCCTCATGAGGAGAAATATTTGGTATCAAAAAAGATTAAAACACGAACAACAGAAACTGTTGAATGAGTCCCACTTGACAGTTGTGAAAGAAAAGCCTCTTTTGAGTGAGTGGTCCCCACGGTTTGATTAATTAATGACCGATCCTAGACGTGTGTATTCCCAAAACCTCCTTTTTGAATTTTTTGAACATGTTTTGATTTAAAATAGGTGGGCAACATACAGTATAGTGCAAAATGAAAATGAAAATGTTAATTTGTTACTTGAAAATAAATACATGACATTGTACAACTCTTCAGAAAGGGGAAGGGAAACAAAGAATAAAAGTCCCCTCCATTCCGCGTCTCTAACGAGGGTCAGAAGCCCGCACTGCTGAAGGACTTCTCTGTTGCTTTCTCAATCCACTACAATAACTGGAGGGTTCCAGCTACAGGTCAACGTGCCTGGCACCCTTCTGCCCTGTAGGGGGCATCAGTGCTGAGAAGTTGCTCTGTAAGAGAGCCACCCTCTGCTCCTCACCCGCTCACCTGACTCAATCACACTATTCAGCGTAAACTTCCCTCAGACTTCCCATGGGTCTGCATCGTATAAACCGCTGTGTCTCCCTTTGGAGGAAGGCATGGAGCACTGTTGATTCAGGAGGTCGACATGCTTTGAGCGCATTGAGACGTCGAAAGGATTTTGTGATACAAAAGAGCAAGAAATGCCTCAATCCTTACGAGAGAGAGAGAGAGAGAGAGAGAGAGAGAGAGAGGATGGTGGCTTTATTCATGGTCCTAGCCCCAGTAATTCTTTGTCTTGCTGATAACACAGATGTTAAAACGGTCTCGGGCATCTCTATCAAAGGCTTCACTAACTAACCTTTCGTGTCTGCAGGATAACTCGGGAACAATGGCTAAATGTCTAAAATGAGGTGTGTGTGTGGGGTTTGTACGGGAACAATAAGAGAGCCATTTAAAGGATTTGCTTCTTCACATACTGTATATCTGCCCCAATCTTCAGTACAGCCCTGATGAATAATTAGCTCCGGCGCGAAAGCGGACATGTTGTGGCTCCTGTGAGCACTGGACTTGATTTCATTAGCCTGGCCTTTATTCTCAGAAGTGAGGGAGTCAACGTGAAATGAGCAGGTCCAAACCATTTAGTAGGAAGTCAGTGTGAGTATTTCACCTCAGCCTGTTATTGAAGTCGGTCCTTGGAGCTATTTAACAAAAATGTTGGATATGATCTGAATGGACCTAATGGAGCAAACAAGGGCTCCCTGAGTGGTTGGATGAGTTGTATTTTATGAATTTCAAAGTTAGAACTGAACACCAACATTTCAACAATGACCAAATAGGAATATCTTCCACGAAAAGCAAGCATCCCTCTCCCAACTCTTCACTTTTCCAATAAAATTTGAAATTAAAAGAAAATATTGATTTAGGGACAAAATCTATATTTGAGCGGCTAGAACAAGTATATCTCTTATCTATTTGAAAGATTTAATTATTTAATAACATTTTGGGATCTCTGAAATACTGCTCACTTAGAGTTTGTTGTGTGGTCCAGTTGAATCGAACACTGCTTTGGTTTTCCATTAGTGCTATGGGACAAATAGTGGAAACATTTTTTTGTGGAGTGAACTTGATTGCTGAATGGATCCCTGCAACCAAGATCCAAAGTTGTCAGCAAAAAGCCTTTGAAAGAGTCCATCAATGAAATATCTCATTTTCTTTTTAGGTTCTTCCTTCTGTGTTACTTCTTTCCTTTGGGAAGTAAAAACAGATACTGTGTATGTGTGTAACCATTGAGTAGCAAGAGCAGTCTCTCCTGGCTTGTAATGTTTTGTTTTGGTCTGGTTCAAATGAAAGCAACTTGGACCAGATGCAAACACTCTATAGGTTATATGTAAACTCCCCTCACAACTGAACTAATCACTACCCTGGTTACCCTCGGGCTGAAAAGTACCCAAAGAAATTTACTGGGAAGGGAAATCAAAGCAGCTAGCAGCATTGAGAGGTTAAGATGGCCCACCCATTCAGAGGTTTTGTCTATTTTCCGCTTGCAGCTGCACAGACTAGCCTGATATTTTCATCCTGCTTCCCTAAATGACTGGATGAAGGTTGTAATCCCGACAACACAATATCCAACGTATGCTGCTCTCTGCTTGAAACTCAATCTGTCATACGAACCATTAAATCTCTTGCACCCTAAACCCTTTTTGATATGAGTTACACCATCGGCAATATTTCGTCTGAGGAAACAAGAAATACTCTGGGACTGTCACAGAGTGCATCAGAGACATCACTACGGCACCCACTCTGGACTTTTAATTTCAGTATGACTGATAATGTATTTCCTCCACAGGCAGGAATATTTAAATGACTGTTCTTGTTCAATTGCATTACAAAGTGGATTAGAGGTGCAGACCATGAACTTTATAAAAATACTTTGTTACCTACTAATCATTTTATGTTCCAGCTCCCAGTTCCATGACAACTAAAGTAAAAGACGGGCTGAAAGGTTATTGTGCACATGAATGGGGGCAGTATGGCTTTCACACTATAGAAGCTGCTCGACCTGTTAAACTATTTTCTGCCGCCGCAGATAATTACCAGCCGGAGAATGCTGCACACGCTGCTGAAGGGGCTTACAGGCACAAACGGCACACCTTCATACTCTGTCAATGTGCTGTTACCAGGGGGGGGCTGTTTTGTTTGGATGAATGTGGAATGCACGTGTACGTGTTTGTGTGAAACGGGAGATGGAGACGCAGGGAAACGGGGGTGAATGAGGTCCGAAACAATGCGGAGGGAGACAAACAGCAGCCAAAGGCTGTGTTTGTGCTCGCAGAGGAGGGCCTGAAAAGTCCCCACACCGCTGACTCTTAAGGGGCGGGCGGGGCGGTGGTGGTGGTGGTGCGGAGGTGGTTTCAGTCAGATCAAGGTCTGGAGTAATTGCTACAAAAGGCTGCGTTCCTCCTCTGAGGCGGTTGGGGTGAGGTGAAGCTGAGTGTGAACGGAATCAACAGAGGACTGAATAGAGAGCTTCAAAAGTTTTAGAGACTTTATGGTAATAGAAAAAGAACAATGGACCTGAAACATTTTTGGGGATTTTCCTTATTGAAACGGCGGGGGGGGGGCAGAGAGAATAGAACAAAACAACGATAGATATGGCTTCATTATGAGTAAAAACATTTATAGTGACATTTAGTGAAGCGGGGAGGATGTGTGAATAAATATGCATAATGTTGCCGGGAAGCATGGAGAGCTTCTCAGGGGCAGAAGGAGGGTGAGAGTGATGGCTCCTGAATTAATGATGAGGGAGCCTACTGTCTCCAGGTCTGCATGTGGGTCTGCACATGTGGCAGCGTTTCACTGCAAATGGTGTGACTGTGTATATGTGTTTGATCATGGGGCACGCACAAACACACACACACACACACACATATCCAACGCAATCTTGCAGCACCCCAATTTCAGCACTGATGGAAATTACCCAATCCTCGATACCTAATCAAGAGACCATTTCTTTTTGGAGACACGCAGATTCACATTAGTCTCTTATTCTTAATTACATTTCTGAAAAGCTCGGGAGCAGAACGACAGGCAAATTCTAATTTTTAGTCTAGATATATAATTTTATCTTTTTCAAGGTTTTTTTTCTCCCCTTTACGAGGCTGCGATGATGAATATTGGGCTGCTCATCATCAAACGCACAGAGAGGAGCCCCCAGAGATTAGGGC